AACAGTGGTGACTCCTGGGAAAGAGAAGGAATCATATGATATAAGTGCAAGGATTTGGATTGGAGTTAAATTAAAGCAATGTAGTAATGTAACATACAATAATAATGGCTACTTAAATATTGATTGCTCCTACTGGTTTAAAGTATCACGTGTCAAGGGCATAGGGGCATGACAAAAATGGTTGACGACCGAGATAACAGAATTCTTGACAGTTGTTTTGGCAGAGTCTCCGCCCACTCTGTACCTTGCGTGTGACATCGCCTACGCATTTTGCCAGGATTTCTGGCTTTCTCGGGACGAATGAGTCTAGAATCTCCATCTTGGAGAAGGGTTTTTGTTGGGTCATGAAGTCTCCGTGGTCCTCCCTCATTGGTGGAAAGTCTGTGACCCTCATTTGCATATTGTGGCACGAAATGCCAAACAAAAACAGCAGTTTAGTACATAAGCAAATAGGATTCATATGTATATTTCATTTAAGATTTGGTTAGTGAATATATCATTAAAATTAAATAAGTGGAAGAAAAGGGATACAAGTGATCCCATATAGCTAATTTCTAAAAGGGGGCAGGCCACTGACATGTGGTAAAAAAACTTTAATCTGGAGGACTTTCATTTAGAAAATTACATATTTCAAAATCATTGCTCCGTCTATTCGAAATAAGAGTGTCTAATTTGTAAATCCACCTCATCTCTGTCTGGTCCAAATCTTAAATACAATTAACTCCTCTCCAGTGATTTCTGACTTTTTGAATAACCACAAACTCTAAAAGGGAAGCATGTGAAGAATTATGCACATCCCTAGAAGAGACCTGATGTTGAGCGTACTTTCTTTTAATGTTATACACATGTTCACAGATCCCTATGCATAATGGTCTGGTGGTCCGTCCTATACAGTGTAATCCGCACGGACAAGTTAACATGTATATTACATTGTTAGTGTGGCAAGTAAGGCAATCTTTAATATTGTATATTTTGCCTTTATTAGTTCAAGATATATATATATATGTGAACAGGCCCGGACTGGCCATCGGGCATACCGGGCAAATGCCCGGTGGGCCGCGATGGCCATGGGGCCGAGGCCGGCAGGAGAGATCACAGAATCTCCCCGGCCGGCCCCTGCAGGGCCAGCGCTACCCGAGCGCCAGCCCCGCTGTGTGCCTCCATGGGCCGGTGGGGAGATCAAAGATCTCCCTCACCGGCCCACAGACAGGGAGATGCGGCCGCCGGCTGGGTGAGGGGGAGAGGGAGGGAGGAAAGAGGACCGGCGGATCTCCAACAAGCAGCTCCGCCGGTCCTCTCGCGGGATTCTGAGTTCACTCTCACCACTGGACCACCAGGGAAGGCAGCATGGCTCCCCACCCCTCCCCAGGCAGAACGGAATCTCCTCCTCCCCCTCCCCCCTCCCAGGATAAAGGTAAGAAGGGGGGAGGGGGGGGGGGAATATAATTTTTTATTTTTTTATTAGTAAAAAAAATATATTTAAATAAAAAATACATTCACTCACACACACAGCCTCCAGACACAGCACAGCACAGCCCCCAGACACACACACAGCACCCCAGACACCCCCAGACACACAGCACCCCAGACACACAGCACCCAGAACCCCCCAGACACACACAGCACCCCCAGACACAGCACAGACACACAGCACCCCAGACACACACAGCACCCCAGACACACACACAGAACCCCCAGACACACACAGCACCCCCAGACACAGCCCCCAGACACACGCACCACCCAGACACACACTGCACCCAGACACACACTGCACCCCCAGACACACACAGCACACAGAATGTGACAGCAGATAAAAACACCCTCACACACAGCACCCCTCTTACATACACACACTGCGCCCTTCACACATACAATAAGTCCAAATATATATAAATATATACATACACACACACACACTACAGCACCCCTCACACTGCACCACTACACACATTATGCTCCAGATACACACTAGATCCCTTACCCTATATGCACTCTTAATCCTCTACACACACACACACACACACACACACACACAAACTGGGTCATTTACACAGTAGATCTCCTACACACACACACTACATTCCTTGTCAGCAAACACATACAACATTCTCTAAACACACTCTCTCTGCAACCCCTACACACACTACGTCACCTATACACACACACTTCAGCCTGTATGCACACACTCGCTGCATCCCCTATAAAACTATGCCCCCTATACACACACTCTCTACAGCCCCTAGCCACACATATTACACCACAAACACAAATTATATTGACCTATTTATACAATACCACACCACACTCTACACACACGCAATCCCACAAGCAGGCTCCAAACATATGCACCATGCACTTTCCTGGCCCTTTTGTCCTCTGGTATCCCACTTGTGGAGACACCAGAGACAATTTAAAAGCAAACACAGCGCAAGCATGTTATTAAATTTGCTTGCGCTGCGCAGAACAAATTCAGGGCCTTTTTCTAATGCCAGAGCTCTTCAGCGGGGCTCTGGGCATTGAACCAACATGCTCACTTTGAGAGGGGGCGTGCTTGTCATTAGTGATGACAAAACACACACTCTCTGGCCCCGCCCCCTTCTTAGGGGGCCGCTCTGATTGAAAAATGCCCGGCCCTAATTTTTTTCCCAGTCCGGCCCTGTATGTGAATGTACTTTAAGTTCGTTAATATGCATACAGATATGGTTAACAGACTCTGTATCTTGAAGAAAAGACTTATTAGTAACATTTAAGTTTGGCATTTTGTGCTGCAATATGCAAATGAGGGTTACAACTTTCCACCAATGAGGAGCGACCACAGAGACTTCATAACCCTACAAAAACACTTCTCCAAGATGAAGATCCTAGACTTGTTTGTCCTGAGAAAGCCGGAAATCCTGGCAAAACGCGTAGACGAAGTCACATGCAAAGTATGGAATGGGCGGAGACTCTGGAGCTTGCATTGCATTCCGAGAGGAGTGATCAGCTGTACTGATTTACGTTGCCATGGACTGCATTGAAACATAGAGCTACACCTAACAGCCAATCGAAAGGATTTTTTTTTACATGACATTATACATATAACATACATACAATTCAATTTATTTGAATAAGATTATGTCTATATTGTAAAACATCTACCAATCATACATATTTACATAAATTTACATATCCACAACAACATTTATTGCATTAAGAGTGTCAGACTGTTTGGATTGGCTTTTATCCTTTATTCTTTCTAAGCAGTGTCAATTTCTTGTAATTTATTAATCATATCCTTCATTTCTACATTGTTTTGTTCATTAGCATTCGAATATTCATTGATTGCCAGTTCCATTCGTAATTGAAACATTAATTGGTTTATTATGTTTTTCCATACTGGAACTGTTTTACTTTTCCAGTTTCTGGCTATTAGAATTTTAAAAGCTACAAAACAGTGTGTAATGAAGTTTGTTTCCATCTTTTTTAGGATAGACCATCTCAGATGTAATAGAGCCACCTCCGGCACAAACCTGAGTCTATGTTCTATCATTTAATGTATAAAAACACATATGTTTTTCCATTGAACCTTTATCTTAGTACAACTCCACCATATGTAAACATGAGCCTCTACTCTTTTCACACCTCCAACACATCAGATGTCAAAATAAACATTCTAGCTACCCTTGAAGGTACCAGATAACACTTGTTAGTAAGTTTATATTGAGTCTCATGCAAATTTACACAGTGAATAGTTTTCCTCATTTCTATTAGTGATTTATACCATTCCATACTCGTAATTTAAATATTTCATTAATTTTGCCAGAGCATTAATTTGATCGTCAATTTTATTCATTTTGATCATACCCAATGCTTTGGAAAGAATTCTATGGACTGTATTTTGATTCAAAATATTACATAAAGCCTTCTTCAAAATATTACATTGCGTTCCACAAAGAAGACCAGGGTGTTGAAGTGGTTGTGATCTATTTGGATTTTGCTAAGGCATTTGATACAGTTCCACACAATAGATTAGGGCTCAAACTCAAGAAAATCGGTCTAGATGAAAATGCTTGTTCTTGTGTAGAACATTGCCTTAAAAATAGAGTACAAAGAGTTGTAATTAATGGTAAATTTTCAAGCTGGACAGAGGGAGCAAGTGGTGTCCCTCAGGGTTCTGTTCTGGGACCCCTTCTATTGAACATGTTTATAAATGATCTTGAAAAAAGCATTGAAAGTTAAGTTTCAGTGTTTGCAGATGACACAAAACTCTGTAAAATAATACGTGAGCAAGATATTACTTTGCTGCAGAGGTATTTAGATAGACTGGGGGACTGGGCACTCAAATGGCAGATGAAATTTAATGTTGAAAAATGCAAAGTTATGCACTTTGGCGTAAAGAATGCACAAGCAACGTATACCCTTAATGGAAGCGAATTAGGGATAACAACACACGAAAAGGATTTGGAAATTGTTATATACAGCAAACTACTAGAAAAAGTGCAGAGGTGGGCTACAAAATTAATAAAAGGAATGGAACATATCAGCTGTGAAGAAAGGTTAACAAATTTAAACCTATTTAGTTTAGAAAAACGTAGCCTGAGAGGGGATATGATATCATTATACAAATATATTCGGGGCCAATACAAACCATTGTGTGGAAATCTATTCACAAACCGGACTTTACATAGGACACGAGGTCATGCGTTTAGACTGAAAGAAAGAAGATTTTGTCTAAGGCAAAGGAAAGGTTTTTTTTTTTTTTTACGTTAAGAACAGTAAGGATGTGGAATTCTCTGCCTGAAGAAGTGGTTTTATCAGAGTCGATACAGATGTTCAAAGAGCAACTAGATGCATACTTGCAAAAACAGCATATTCAAGGATATCATTTTTCAATGTAGGGTAATAACTGCTTGATCCAAGGATAAATCTGACTGTCATTCTGGGGTCAAGAAGGAATTTTTTTCTGAGCTTGTTGCAAAATTGGAAGTGCTTCAAACTGGGTTTTTTTGCCTTCTTTTGGATTACATAGTTACATAGCTGAAAAGAGACTTGCGTCCATCAAGTTCATGTTTTTGCTGCTGATCCAAAACTTGATGGACGCAAGTCTCTTTTCAGCTATGTAACTATATGTTCCTGTTTTGCTGAACCTTAAATGTTGCATCAGTGTATATTTCACTCTTAGATAATTAAAAAGCTTGGATCAAGGAAGATTAAACTCTATTGTTAGATCCGAGAATGATTTTAGTTTAGAATTTTCTATTAGCTGGTGTAACGGCACCCCGGGTATAGAAGGGAATGTAAAGGCAGCTACCGAACACTCCAATCAGCCGAACCAGCAATCATACGAATAATCCACCCAAGTACGAGACAAGGCTCTGTATTGAGGGTCAAGCAGGAATCTGTTTAATCTGGGCTACCTGCTGGTCTTTTATGCAGGTCTTCCACCAGGTGGACACTCCCCTAGGGGACCTGGTGGAAAACTGGGACAAAATAGTACAGTAGCCAATCATGACAGTGCAGGGATAAACACTCCCCTTGGAACAGTATAGGACTCTCCTCTCTATCCTGGAGATAATTGGGAAGTAACTCAATTATTTCAGAGGATAGAGGAAAAACTCTATTTTATACACATGAACAAAAATACATAAAAATCTATAAATGACAATTTACTGAATGTAATGCCCATATGCAACATATCCCCAGATAGCTTAGACCTGAGCGCATATTACCGAATAGCGCTCAGATCACATACATACAGTTCAATGGCCATGGAGTCAAAGGCTCTCACATAGTCTTTCATTATACGAATGGGCTCCGTGGGATAGCTATCTAGGTGACTCCGTTCGTAAGGAAAGGTACCAAACTGTACGGCGTTCGTATGATTGAAGAACAGAAGAAGAGAGGTCGTGGCTTCAGCGGTGTTCGTGAGAAAATAATGTCTGTTTTCAGTTCCATGAGATCGTCGACGAACACCGCTGGGCATTCATATGTCCAAGATGGTCGCCTCCACGTGTTCGTTCATACGAACAACGACCACCCAGCCGACATTCGACAATTAGGAAGTGTCTGCGGTTAACCACAACGTTCTAATGAGGCCAAGAGGTTAACAAGCAGCACACTTCCATGCTGGGTGGCCGACCATTTGGCAGTTCTTTCGGTAAAACAGGGGAATAAAGGTAGGGACCGTAAGGACAGGGAAATAGCCGAACAAACAGACGAACCAAGGGGGAATAAAAGTAATTCAAAGACAGAGAGGTCTGTCTCATGGTTCCCTCCTTGTGGGACACTCTGGCAGACCCGGCTTGATCCTTCTCGGGTCAACTTGGGGATGTCTGGAACTAGGAAGCTGGAGTAACGTCTGTTTGCCGGGACAACCCATCAGCATTGCCATTTTGCTTACCGGGTCTGTAGCTGATGATAAAGCTGTAAGGTTGCAGGGCTAAGCTCCACCGCAGCAACCTGCCATTGTCTCCTGAGACCTGGTTAAGCCAGACCAATGGGTTGTGGTCAGTGACTAAGGAGAACTTCTGTCCATACAAATAAGGGTTTAACTTTTTAAGTGCCCAAACCAGAGCCAAACATTCTTTCTCCACTGCCGCATAGCTCACTTCTCAAGGTAACAGTGTTCTGCTCAGGTATGCGACAGGGTGCTCTCCTCCATCCTCCCCGACTTGGCTCAGCACAGCCCCCAGTCCAAACATGGAAGCGTCTGTGTGGACAAGGAAACATTTGTTAGGTACTGGGGCAGCCAAAACAGGGGCATTAACAAGTGCTTGCTTGAGGGCTTGAAATGCAGTTTTACAAGCTGGAGACCACAAAACCTGCCTAGGTAGATTCTTCTTAGTCAAGTCAGTCAGGGGCTTCAGGGACTTCATAGTCAAGTCAGTCAGGAATCTGCTAATAGCCTTTGCACAGGTCCATGGTATCCCCTGCCTATGCGATCCAGGAGTTTGTCTATCCGGGGAATCGGGTAGGTGAAAGTGGTGGTCTTCTCATTGAGTCGCCTGTAGTTCACGCAAAACCGAGTGGTCCAATGCTTTTTAGGCACAAGGAGGACTACAGACGAGGCCCAGGGGCTGTCAGAGGGTTCAATGACTCATCTCCTGTATCTCCTTCCACATTCCTTCTCGGACTGCTTCAGGGATACGGTAAGGAGGCTGTCGAAGGGGTTTCTATTTTGTGTACAGCCAGGGTCGTGTAGCCCGGTTCTTGGGAGAAAGGCGTGGGGCTTAACCGGTCCCCTAGCTGTACAAGGCTAGTAAGGTCAGTCTGGGGTTCTCTCTCTAGTAAGTCAGGGAGGGGTAAACTCTCTGAGTCATCTGCAGCAGGGGAACACACTGCAGCAACATCCTCCTGCCTTTCCTGATACTCCTTCAGCATGTTCACATGAAAGGATCGCTGGATCCTTTCATCTGCACAGCTGGCAATAACATAGGTAGTATCACATACTTTATACAGGACCTGCCAAGATGCCTGCATCTTGTTGGTCTTCACAGGCTTGAGCACTAAGACCTTCTGCCCAACCTGGAAGACATGCTGTCGTGCACCCTGATCGTACCATCTTTTCTGTCTCCTCTGGGCCGCCTGGAGGTTCTCTCTTACCATCAGAGACAGTTTCTCCATGCGGTCCCTTATTTCCAGAACATATGGCACTATGGGGGTCCCCTCCTGCTCTGTCTCTCCCTCCCAGTGTCCTCTAATAAGATCTAGGGGTCCTCGGACCCTTCTCCAATAGAGTAACTCGAAGGGCGGGAACCCAGTAGATTCATGGGGTACCTCTCTGTAAGCAAATAACAGGTGAGGCAGGAATCTCTCCAGTCTCTGCAGGCGTCAGTAAAGGTCCTCAGCATTTTCTCGAGGGTCCCGTTAAAGTGCTCGCAGAGACCGTTAGTCTGGAGGTGGTAAGGTGAGCTCAGCAAGGGCTTTATATTGCACACCTTCCACAGCTGCTGGGTGAGCACAGCAGTAAACTGGGTTCCCTGGTCGGAGAGGATCTCCTTAGGGAACCCCACTCTAGTAAATATTTTAACCAGGGCATCAGCTACTGTCTCTGCTTCGATATTGGACATAGCTACTGCCTCTGGGTAACGGGTGGCGTAGTCCACCACGGTGAGAATATACTTCTTCCCGGATGGACTAGCCCTGGCCAAGGGACCCACAATGTCAACGGCTATGCAGTAAAAGGGCTCCCCAATAATACGCATGGACATAAGTCTGGCCTTAGGGTGGTCCCCCCGCTTCCCTACCCGTTGACATGTGTCGCACGTTTTACTACTGTCGCACGTCCCTATTAAAACTGGGCCAGAAGAAATTCTGTGTAATCCTATGGCCGGTGCGCCGTACTTCTAGATGTCCTGCTAAGGGGACATCATGCCCAATTCGCAGAATTTCCAGCTGGTATTTCTTGGGCACCACCAGCTGTCTTTTCTGCAAAGGGGCTTTGCTTCTCGGGGATGCCTTAGGGATCCTGTACAGTCTACCCCCCACCCACTCATAGAGCTCCCCATCTACTTCCCTCTCCTGCGTGTCTGCCTTGGCCTTATACAGCTGTAGGGTCGGGTCTTCCCGGGTTTCCCTCCCGAAAGCCCCAGTCTAGGGGAGCATGGTCTAGGTTAACTGTCGGGGTAGAGGGTCTCTGCAGCAGGTGGGCCGGTTCCAGCAGCACCTGTCTGGGCACGGGTGGTCACAGGATTGGCCTCTGTGGGCCCCAACGGGGCCTACGATGAAACAAGAGGGGACAAATCGTTCCCAATGAGTACATCCGCTGGCAAGTCTTTCATAATGCCCACATTCACAAGTCCTAAACTGACTCCCCAATCCAAGTGAACGTGGACAGTGGGTAGCCTGTAAATGGTGCCTCCAGCTACCCTGACGCCAACAGTTTCCCCGCTGTGTTGGCTCTCTGGGATAAGGTGGTTTTGTAACAGGGTTAAGATGGCACCAGTATCTTGCAGGCCACTGGCCACCTTTCCATTTACCCGGACAGTCTGTCTGTGTTGTTGTCTGTTATCCCGGTTAGCTGCTTGGACCGGGTCAGCTTAATGCAGGGTGCCCCAGTGCTCCTCCTCTTCAATGCAGTGGGCAGCAGGTGTTGGTGCACGGGGGTTCCCCATTGCTGGCTTTCTCCAGGACTGGGATTGCCTGGCTGGATTCCACGGGCAGTCCTGCTTTCGATGTCCGATCTGGTCACAACCGAAGCACCTCATGAGTTGAGAATAGTTCTGTGCGTTGAACCTGGGCTGCTGTGAGTAAATGGCAGCCGGAGGTGGTGCTGTGGAATGATATGACTGTGGTTGTGGTGCGGCAGCTGGAGGAGGTGCCACTGGTCGGTAGTTTATATGGGCTGCTGTCTTGGCCACCTGGGTATCTAGCTTGCGGGCGTCGGTGTACTCGTCCACAAAGCGAGCTGCTTCGCTAACGAGGTGTGAAAACCACAGACCGCAAGGGAACAAGTGGCGCTTGCCGCCCCTGAGTGGCCGCCGGTTCGTATTACCGAATGCCCACAAGGGGGAGCATTCGTATGCCAAACGGCCTGTGTACGTTTTCTTTGATCCCGGTGTCAGGGATCACCCTACCCGCTCCCAATGGAGCTATAATCACTCCTCTTTTCCCTTGTCCTACCTGTAGTCCCTCATCCCTGTCCCTCGCCTGGGAGCTAAGAGGTTGCGCTCGTGGCTGCCCAGGAGAGGGACGCATGCCAGCCCAGAGGGTCCCTGCGGTTGTGAGTCGGTCTCACAACTGCAGGGCTCCCGCTGTCTGCATGAAAGTCTGTGCCGACCAATGGGAGAAGGAGCGCCCATTCAAACTGGGTTTGTGCCACTCTCCTGTTTGGCCGGCAGGAATAAAGCTCTGATTGGTCACCACAGGGAGCGAGCGACCAATCCAAGGAGGAGCACTTGTTCAAACAGGGTTTTGCGCCATTCCCTCTGGTTGGGCGGTGAAACCTCTCCTGTCCCTGGATGCCGATTGGCGCAAAAAAGGTTTTGCGCCTTTCAGTGGATTGGTGACATCAGGTTTTGCGCCCTTTCTTTCTGATTGGGCGGTGAAACTCCTTCCTGCCCCTAACGCTGATTGACCAGTGAGCACAACCACTCCAACCCACAAACTCCAATACAGTGCCTTCAA